AAAGGAGCAAAATATCTGAAAATCGAAATTAACTTTGTTAACTTTGTTGCTGGACCTGTTTTTAAAAGGACGGATACAAATAGAAATTGTTTCCCCCTAGAGGGAGCTTTTGAAACTGTTGCAGGAGCGGAGCTGGGGAATTCTCCAGCTGCAGAGATTAAAGATCGTGAGAATTAGACATTGACCTTGGACAAGAATGTGGACAGAAGAAGCCTTAGTGATTGCTTTTGCAAAACAAGTGCCTTATTGGAACAGCTTCATGAGAAGATGGATGCGATGATTACTATAACTGACAGTTTTGGACAAAGAAGGATTGATTTGGGACAAAAAGTGAATACTTATACAGAAACTACTCAGGAACCGACCCAGGAATCTGCTTTGACATGGCAAGCTGTGGAGAAGACAAAGGAGGAGGTTGTTGTTGAACCTCAAGTAATACAAGGGGAGAGAGCCTCGCCTTGTATGAACATAAGCTGTTGTCTTTGAAGACCGAATCTGGAGAAAGCCAGATTTGGAGAGATGGAGCCCCGCTTGGATTGGAGAAGGAAAGTTGGAAAGATCCCCTTATGCAGGGATGTTCTGGCTTTTGGGATTTGGTTTTGGGCCAGGGGGAGATTGGAGTGGTGGGGGCTTTTAACTTGGGAGGGATTTTGAAACATGCTTTGAAATATCCTTTGGATTTTAGTGCTGACTATGGAGAATGGGCTGACCTGTCGAGAAGGGATAAAGACATTGTTAGGTTGGAGTCTCCCCGAGATCTACTCCTCAGTGACAAAGGAAGGAAAATTAAGAACAAGATCAGCAGAAGACAAAGTAAAGTGCAGGTGTAAATATGAAGAAGATCTGCAGAAGGGACATGGAAAAGAGTTAAGAGCCTCGGACAGAAGACCACCAGGTTGATGGACTAGATGGAATGGATAGAAAGGACTGACAGAACCCGAGACCAGGGAGAAGAGACGGTGGATGAAGATTGGAAGAAAATTTAAAAATTTATTTAGAGAAATATTGTAAAATTAATGAGTGTTAGAAAAATGTTGGAATGAAACTATTTGGCTTTAGTAGAAATGCTATAAGGAGTTATGTACAAATAAGTTTTAAGTTTTAGGGCTTTTTATGGTAAGATAAGGTTAAAATAAATTAAGACAATTAAATGACAGAATATAGTGAAAGATGGAAAGGATTTGCTGAAATAATTAATAACTAGAATACAAAAAAGGGAGGTGTGAGGAGGTCGATGAAACAAGTTAATGAAAGATAAAGATATGGGAATATTGGATTTGTTTTTAATTTTTTTGCTTTTGTTTTTGGTTTTGATGTATTGTGTGTTTTGTTCTCTTTTTCTTTTTTATTGACTTGTATTGTTTAATCTCTTTCTCTCTTTTTTCTTTCTCACTTTTTTTCTGTAATTTTAAATTTTCAATAAATATCATTAAAAAAAAAAAAGGAAACATAGCCTGATTCAAATATGATGCCTGATATATTGGGAGAAGAGATTGATGCTGTAAATGGCCAAAAGCAAGCCTGCAGTTTCCAACTTCCTTTTTTGTGAGGACACTTGCTGATATTTCATGTGTTGTTTTTCACCTACTTGCTTGATACACTGTTTTATATTTTATAGCATTGTTTTATATCTTATAGCTTTATTTTATATCATATTTCACATATTTTAAGAAAAAAAGCATGATTTAAATTTAATAACTTACCTGGAAACCGATATATGGCATGATCACATATTGAAAAGCACTCTCTCCCTGTCTCCTTGAAAAGTCTAGCGATAAGGAAGAAATAGTCAATAGTACAAACTGGGTGATAAAAGATAATAAGCACTGGTCCTTTAGGAAGATGTTCCATGCCAAAAACTTCATAACCTGGAAATAATATAAAATGCAACAAATAAATGTTATTTTGTTGAAAAATAAATGGAATATTGCAATCTTTTATTGGAAGAAAACACTGTGGTTCAGAAAACTGTAATTTACGATCAGTTAAAAAGCTCTCCTATATGTTGCAGCATTCTGGATACTAGGTTGTCATCCACATGGACTGGGACTTTCTCTGTTGTGCTCACATAATAAATGACATTTCTCCTCTGTTGCCTAGAGTTGTCGACCTTTTTTTAAGGGGGGACCCCAAAGTTGGCATGCGGCGGATCCTGTCCAGAGATGTTTCCTCTGCTGCCACTTGCATTCCCCATTGTTCTTCACTGGGACGTCACGTTGGGCAGTGCTGGGAGCGTGTGACGACAGCGGAAAAGCCAGCAAAGGAACCCACAGCTCGGCACATGCAACAGGATGCATCATGCAGCGCCCACAACGTTACATGGTGGTCCGGGCATGGCACTGAAACAGTTAGTTGCCATGCAGCTGGGGCAAGAGCCCACAGGCTTTTCTGCTGCAGGCAGGTTGGTGCGAATTTGGGAGTGAGAGTTGGAGTCCGGGGAAGAGCCGCCTGCAGAAGACGAACTCCGACGGGCTCTGCTCCTCTCGGCTGTCGGCAGCTCTTCCCTAGATTCCAACGCTCGGCCCTGGACTCTCAACCTGACACCCCTGAGAGCCCAGCGCCCGGGTGCCGTGCACCCCTAGTGCCAATGGTTAAGATGCCCCTGACTTTCATATGGGTTAGAATACTATATTTTACTGAGCCTTTTTTATTTGAAGAACAGTATTACCCTTCCGTGCAGAGTGTTGCACATTCTTTCCCCATCCCTAAGAGCTCTAATTTCATGCATCTTCAGGCCATTCTCTGAATCACTTTATACAATGTGAGAGAAAAGTTTCCCAGACAGATGCACCCTTGACCATGTCCTAAGTAGCTAGAGGGTTTCATCCTTATGACCCAAGCTTGGTTTTAGTAATGTGTTTCTGATTTATGCTTCAACATCTAAAGCAACATTACACTCTCGGATGCAATGAGAACATAAGATGGATCCTCTTGATCAAGCCAAAGCTCTCTGTATTCCATCATCCTCTTTCACGCAGTGTCCATCCAAATTAGCAGCCATCACCACATCATCACATCCTGTGCTGAAAAATTCCATGGGTTGTGTCCAGAGTTTATGCTTCAGAGTTACCTAGTGATTTACCATGCTCAAGAAAATTGCACCCTCAAAGTCTCACTGCACGATGATATACTCATTAAATTCACTGAGTACCCACCACACAGTTAAAACCGTTGTGGTAACTATTGTTCCAGGGCCACAAGTCCGAAATTCTGATGCTAGGTCCTATGAAAGTATAGTAGCTGAATTATTGGTATGAAATAAACATTTACTCACCATGCCATATCTTTCCAAATATATCTAAAACTTGAAACGTAATTTGCTTTGGCTTTTTCCAAAATTTGGTATCAAAATCAGTTTCTTGCCTGTTATTCCTCTTCTTGTGGACATATAGCAAAAATGAGATTGCACAGATAAACAAATACGTCATTATAATGATTGAACAAGGCAAAATCAGAAGCATACTCAACCACCAAGAGTAAGTCCTTGAGCTCAGGTATTCTTCCATGGAAGGAAAACTAATCCAGTTTCCCAGCATTTGAGTAAAGCGGCTCATGGTTTCCTGATATGAAGCCCCACGTGTATGCCAAGGAAGGAAACAAATCCAGTTAAATCTTCTTTGGTTTTGATGGTATTTTCCCCCACTGTTTACCTGGAAAACAGAAAATGCAGTATATTAGTTTGAACTGCCATTCCAGAAGCGTTCATGATTACATGAAATCTCCTGCTATTTAATATTTTCCTAGTTTTCGCACTGTAACTTGCCAAGTAGATACAAGTAGATACAAAATGACAAGTGCATGACTCCATTTATTTCTTGTAAAGCAAGCTGGTTTCAGTCGACTGCTGAAGTATTAAGGAAAGTGAGAAAGGGTCACTTCTCTTTGAGTCAGCAGAAATGGTTCCCCGCCTCCTAAAAGTGCAGCTGCATGCATCTTGTGACTGTCTTCTTTGTGTTGCTGGGCAAACTAACACATACCCCAAGATAGATAAAGAACTCAAGTTTCAGCATTCACTGTTGTGGGGCATTGGAGACATGGATACTGTTGGAATGATCTGGGAAAGATGTGTTGGATTTGTGAAGAGCTTATCTGAAGGAAGTTAGACACATTGCAAGACTACACAGAGGGAACTCTGGCAGTTGCAGGACTTTTTTGAGCAAGTGGACTTTGCACTTGCTGTGTGCACTTTCCTCAGCAAAACTTTATACTTCGAAACGCTCTCTGGGCTCAGAGAGTGAAGACTTCTTGTAGCAGAGAGTGTGTGTGTCTTTGTGCCCCCAAAGTAAAAGCGATCTCTGCTACACAGTTGTTTCTTGTACTGAAACTATCCACTAGACTTAAATTATGTGGCGTGAAGAACACCAAACAAGAGGGAGGGTGGGGAAAATAGTGAGCTGATGGGTGGCAGCATTTTGTAATTCACTGCAAAGTGCCTCTTTCTGGGGATGTGAAGTGGAATAGCAGCGCTGCTGCCAGATAAGAACAGATGCCGATGGCCAAACCCTGTTATCACTGCCTCTAGAACTTCTTTCAAGTTGGTTTATTGGGGACCATGCCACAGTACACAGCCATTGCATTTTTGTCTACAAATTACTAAGTCATCTAAAAACAGACTTTTACATAGTTAAATTGCATATTTTTAATTTTACTCTATCTTCACTACATCTTTCAACAGAAAAGTATGGGAAAAGAGACAAAATTGATAAGGGTATGCAGGCTTTATAGCACAGCTGTTTTGATTCCAATAATAGCTGTGTTATAGGGAGGAATTTAATTTCTGCTTCTCAGTGTTATAATATCTGAAAAGCTGTAAGTGCTTAATTTCATCTCCACAAGTAGCGAACATCCTAGTTGTGTTTTAAGTTGACAATGTGGAAACAGGCTAAGATTTTCATACAACTGGTTTTTACACACGCACACAGACAAGACAGCATTTCTCTCTCGCTCTCTGCTGACCCATGCACAGGAACTGACAAATAAAACAACTACTAGCACATTTGCAAAACTAAGCAAGAACCATTTGTTGAGATTGCAGGGGGTTGACTAGACAACCCGTTGGGCCCCTTCCAACTCTACATTTTATGTTTCTATGAACAAAAAACTTTTACTTACATTCCTGGTAAGCCTAAATTGCCTTGACTTTGGTCACCTCTCTCTGAGAGCAGCAAAAGTCTTGTCTGGTGCTGTACTTTTTCGTAGGCTAATTTCCACCACTATGGAGACATGTCCCTTTATGTGGAGGTTTAAAGAGACTGTGATGGGTGTGCCATCTGTATGAACAAATCAAGCATTGTGAAAAAGAGAGAAGACATGGGGAGGCTGCTTCTTGGAAGTCGTGGCCATTTGTAATCAAACATAAAGTATGGAGTCACACCTACAAGAATATTCATAATGTACAATTACATACTGGTCACATAAAACCAGTTCTTGACTAAGGAATAAAGGTAGGAATTGTACTCGCAACACTCTGTCTGCGATTCAGTCATAGACTTATTAAGAACAAATATCCATGGTTTGTAAAGAAGAAGAAGAAGAAGAAGAAGAAGAAGAAGAAGAAGAAGAAGAAGAAGAAGAAGAAGAATAGTAGTAGTAGTAGTAGTAGTAGTAGTTTGGATTTGATATCCCGCCTTTCACTCCCTTTAAGGAGTCTCAAAGCGGCTAACATTCTCCTTTCCCTTCCTTCCCCACAACAAATACTCTGTGAGGTGAATGGGGCTGAGAGACTTCAAAGAAGTGTGACTGGCCTAAGGTCACCCAGCAGCTGCATGTGGAGGAGCGGAGACACAAACCCGGTTCCCCAGATAACGAGACTACCGCTCTTAACCACTACACCACAAGGCACTTGAGAGTGTTGAGGATGACACTTGAGAGCCAACCTGTCAAGTGCCTACCTTAATTCCCAATTCTATAGCAAGACTTTGACAGAAGTGGTGAGCATGCCAACCTCAAAATTCCTGAGTATTCAGGAATCCACCAGATACCATAAGTCTCTGGGAACAGACCAACTTAATGGATCCCCTAGCCTTATAGAAGGGCACTGCATCATCACTTCGAATTTCACTATCAAATTATCCATCTCAGACAATGGGCTCAGCACAAACTTCCCTACGAATGGATTTCTGCCTTCCCACGCCCTTGGAGAGACCTGAACTAGGGTATGTTCTGTCTTATGTGTTGGGCCTTTAATTTACTGAGATGGTCTCATGGTTGCCATGGAGACCAGGACCTAGAGGTTATATGGTCAAGAGCCATGTGTTGCAGCATTTCTGGTCTGTGAACAGATAATGGAGGAGGATAGAGACTGCTCTATAAAAAGAGGTGATAAAGAAGAAAATACAGTTATAAAGGGGGAAATCAGTGAAATTTATAAAATATAAGTAGAAAAGGGGGATCAAGAATGCAAGGCTTGGGTCTCCTCCCCGCCCCACGAGATGACTCCGGCCATTAATTATTTAAGATTTATTGATTCAGCAAAAGCCCCGGTTGGAGCTCTACTAATTTCAGTCTATGTTGAAAAGGCTGTCCATAAGAATAAAATAAAATTAGTATAAATTTTTTAGAGATGGTATTTAACACCAGTCAGATTAAATCAAATCAATACCAGGGAAGATTCTGGAGCAGATCATTAAGCAAACAGTCTGTGAGCACCTAGAAAGGAATGCTGTGATCACCAATAGTCAGCATGGATTTCTGAAAAATAAGTCATGTCAGACTAACCTGATCTCGTTTTTTGACAGAATTACAACCCTGGTAGATGAAGGGAACGCAGTGGATGTAGCCTACCTTGATTTCAGCAAGGCATTCGACAAGGTGCCCCATGATATTCTTGTAAAGAAGCTGATAAAATGCGGACTTGACTATGCTACCACTCAGTGCATTTGTAACTGGCTGACTGACCGAACCCAAAGGGTGCTCATCAATGGTTCCTCTTCATCCTGGAGAAGAGTGACTAGTGGGGTGCCACAGGGTTCTGTCTTGGGCCCGGTCTTATTCAACATCTTTATCAACGACTTGGATGATGGACTCAAGGGCATCCTGATCAAATTTGCAGATGACACCAAACTGGGAGGGGTGGCTAACACCCCAGAGGACAGGATCACACTTCAAAACGACCTTGACAGATTAGAGAACTGGGCCAAAACAAACAAGATGAACTTTAACAGGGAGAAATGTAAAGTATTGCACTTGGGCAAAAAAAATGAGAGGCACAAATACAAGATGGGTATTTGAGACCTAGCTTGAGAGCAGTACATGTGAAAAGGATCTAGGAGTCTTGGTTGACCACAAACTTGACATGAGCCAACAGTGTGACACGGCAGCTAAAAAAGCCAATGCAATTCTGGGCTGCATCAATAGGAGTATAGCATCTAGATCAAGGGAAGTAATAGTGCCACTGTATTCTGCTCTGGTCAGACCTCACCTGGAGTACTGTGTCCAGTTCTGGGCACCACAGTTCAAGAAGGACACTGACAAACTGGAACGTGTCCAGAGGAGGGCAACCAAAATGGTCAAAGGCCTGGAAACGATGCCTTATGAGGAACGGCTAAGGGAGCTGGGCATGTTTAGCCTGGAGAAGAGGAGGTTAAGGGGTGATATGATAGCCATGTTCAAATATATAAAAGGATGTCACATAGAGGAGGGAGAAAGGTTGTTTTCTGCTGCTCCAGAGAAGCGGACACGGAGCAATGGATCCAAACTACAAGAAAGAAGATTCCACCTAAACATTAGGAAGAACTTCCTGACAGTAAGAGCTGTTTGACAGTGGAATTTGCTGCCAAGGAGTGTGGTGGAGTCTCCTTCTTTGGAGGTCTTTAAGCAGAGGCTTGACAACCATATGTCAGGAGTGCTCTGATGGTGTTTCCTGCTTGGCAGGGGTTGGACTCGATGGCCCTTGTGGTCTCTTCCAACTCTATGATTCTATGATTCTATGAAATAAACAAGGAATATTCGGTGTTATGTTGGAGGGGATGCCAGGAAGCGGAATTATGTTCAAATGGGGTGGGGGTGTAAATATGTGCATTTTTTTTGGCAAAGTATGTTTAAAGAGATCACAGAAATCACTGGGTTAAAGCTGATCAAAAGTTCAGAGGTAGCATTATTATCAATTTACAATGGGGTGGAAGGGGTATGTCATTTATTCTTCTCTTAGTCCCTCCAGATTTTATGCCATGACGGAGGGGGGGGGGCTTCTCTTTACCTCCCTGGTGTGGATCCTATGTGTGTGTGTGTGTGTGTGTGTGTGTGTGTTTGTCCAAATATATATAAAATTGTCCAAATTGGTCTGATTTCTTTTTATTTTATAGAGAAGTTGCTGCTTTAATGGTGGCACTTGAGGCATTTTGCTGAGAGGTCTTGATTGCACAGTGTCTCTGCGTTCAATATTGGAGCTTCCGTGGCTCCCTTTGGAGCTTTGGAGACTCCTAGGGAGCGTTCTCCAACACCACTGGACCCTTCGGAACCAGAATTTTCCTTATGGGCTTTTTTAGAGAAGGTGCTTTGCCCAAGCTCCCTTCCTGCCTATTTGCAGCAATTGGGTCACTCAGGGCCAGCAATCCCGATCATTCACCATAGCCTGCAGCAGTCCACAACAATACATTGCCTTTTTAAATATAATAATTTTTAATAATTTTTCATTAATAACAATCCAATATAGACCACATTAATACAATACCAAATCATAATTCAATTTAAAAAGCCAATTGTCAGATTTCAAATTAAACATTTTGGTTGAG